TCCAAGACATGCTGGGCGTGCCGTGGGCCACGGACAACTCTCTCGCCATCGCTCGGACGTCCATGCCCCGAGCATGTTTCGATGCCGCGCGTATCTTTTCTGAGAGGATCAAGCATGCTCCTCCATGATGGTCCTCGCCGAGAAAAAATGAACACGTCCAAGCGATGCCAAGGGACACCTCTGGCACCCCCCGAGTCTGAGGCGCTTTGCTGGGGGCGACCTCTCGTGCTCGGTCAGCTCGGGCGCTTGAGGCGCGGCAGGCGAGGTCACAGCGGATCTTCGTGCCTCCTCCTCCTCCGCCTCCTCCTCCTCCTCCTCCTCGTCCTCCTCCTCCTCGTTCTCCTTCTCCTCCTCCTCCTCCTCCTCCTCCTCCTCCTCCTCCTCCTCGTCCTCGTCCTCCTTCTCCTCCTCCTCCTCCTCCTCCTCCTCCTCCTCCTCCTCTTCCTCCTCCTACGGCAGTGCTTTCTTACGAAACGTGGACTCGGCACGGCGCTCACAGGGACAAGGTGTGGAGGCTCCTTGGGGTCGGGGGCCCTTGGCCTTCGAGCAGCGCGAAGCCGACTCTGTCCGAGCTCGCAGCCAATCCCCCACACGCGGCAGCCAAGAGGGGCCGAGACTGCGGCCCCTCCACGAGCGGGGCGGGCTGCGGTCTGTGAGGGCGGAGAGCTCTGGCTTCGACGACCCTCCCCGTGGTGGTGAGGCTCGCTCTTCGCGCAGTGCGCAAGCTTCGCTCCCGATGGCCAGCGCGAGATCGGGGAGGTGCACAAAACTGCTGCCGCTCCGCGAGGCCGGCGGCGAAAGGCCGGGAAGCCCGTCGGGCCGAGGCGGCCGCTTATGTCGCCCTCCCCCTCCCTCCTCCTCCTCCTCCTCCTCCTCCTCCTCCCTCCTCTCTCTCCTCCTCCCTCCTCCTCCCTCCTCCTCCCTCCTCCTCCTCCTCCCTCCTCCTCCTCCTCCTCTTCCTCCTCATCCTCCTCCTCCTTCTCCTCCTCCTCCTCAACCTCCTCCTCCTCCTCCTCCTCCTCCTCCTCCCCCTCCCCGTCCCCCTCCCCTCCTCCTCCATCCTCCTCCTCCTCCTCCTCCTCCTCCTCCTCCTCCTCCTCCTCCTCCCCTCCTCCTCCTCCTCCCCTCTTCCCTCCTCCTCCTCCTCCTCCTCCTCCTCCTCCTCCTCCTCCTCCTCCTCCTCCTCCTCCTCCTCCTCCTCCTCCTCCTCCCCGTGCCAATGGTGCGCAGGGCTCCAGTTGTGTAGTCGGTTGAGGACGCACGGGGCGCCTGTAAGGAGACCATCGTTCTCCGAAGAGCACCTCACGCGAACCCTCTGGAATTACACCGCCAAGGGGACCCAGGCAATCCGGTTTCAAATAGGTGTCCTCCCAACCCCGTTGCGAGCAGTTGCTTACTCGACATATCAGGAGGCTGGACATCGTTTCCCGGCTCCTCCATACCTGCCTTAGTAGGCAGGTTAACATCTGGCATTCGCACGAAGTGTATTACCTCCAAAGGGCAGCGCCCTGATACGGCTGTATGGGTGTGGGCCTTCCCCAGTCTTGCATTATTGAAGAGGATAGTCTTGCCAACACCAGACATTGTATTCATGCGTTGACCCCTCATGCTGGGGCTTCGTTCCCTCATGCTCTTACCCCTCAAGGGGCTTTGACCCCCTCATGCAGGGGCATTGGCCCTTCATGCCTTGACCCCTCATGCTGGGGCCTTGGCTGGCCCCTCATGCGTTGACCCCCTCATGCTGGGGCATTGGCCCTGCATGCGTTGACCCCTCATGCCGGCGCTTCGGCCTCTCATGCCCTGACCCCTCATGCTTGGGCCTTGGCTGGCCCTTCATGCGTTGACCCACTAATGCTGGGGAATTGGCCCTTCATGCGTTGACCCCTCATGCCCGGGCTTCGACCCCCCGTGCTTTGACCCCTCATGCTGGGGCGTTGTCCCTTCATGCGTTGACCCCTCATGCCGGGGCTTCGGCCCCTCATGCCCTGACCCGGTCTTGCTGGGGCCTTGGCTGGCCCCTCACGCGCTGACCCCCTCATGCTGGGGCATTGGCCCCTCATGCGTTGACCTCTCATGCCAGGGCTTCGGCCCCTCATGCCCTAACCCCTCACGCTGGGGCCTTGGCTGGCCCCTCATGCGTTGACCCCCTCATGCTGGGGCATCGGCCCTTCAGGCGTTAATCCTTCATGCCAGGGCCTCGGCCCCTGATGCCCTCGTACTGGGGCCTCAGCTGGCCCCTCATGTGTTGACCCCCCCATGCTGGGGCATTCGCTCTTCATGCGTTGACCCCTCATGCCGGGGCTGCGGCCCTTCATGCCCTGACCCACTCATGCTGGGGCCTTGGCTGGCCCCTCATGCGTTGACCCCCTCATGCTGGGGCATTGGTCCTTCATGCGATGACCCTTCATGCCAGGGCTTAGGCCCCTCATACCCTCACCACTCATGCTGGGGCCTTAGCTGGCCCCTCATGCGTTGACCGCCCATGCTGGGGCATTGTTCC